AATAGGAAAAAGATGGTTGGTGGAGGACGTCGAGAAAGAGAGGGTGTGTGTGTGGGGGGGGGGGGGCTATGCAGCAAGGGATAAAGTGAAGATATGTGTTAGCAGTAGAGTTCTGTTGAAGTATTTAAACTGAAGAAGTTACAGCCGTACAGATCATTCATGTCCCCAAAGCTCCCACCGATTACAACAAAGCCTGACCCAGCTAGAGGATATTCTAGGAACCAGCGGGAGTGCCGCTTAAGAATGGCTTCCTGGGGAGACACTGGTACTCTTCCGGGTCACTTTCACCTCGACCCCTTGACCTGGCGGGCTGTCACACCTCACGTTTTTTCGCGATTTCAATTCTTAGCAATTTTTGGGAGCTGCTATTTTAGGGCCTGTTCTAAGATTTTGTATAGGGGAGAGGTAGGGTTTGGTCAGGGTACATTTTTGGGTAAATTTGTGTATACGAACATGACTCCGTAATATTATGTACTTTATCTTGAAGTGGTCAAAACTTGATCACATAGGTCTATGTAAAAAGAGGTTTGAAGCAGCCCTAATGTAATTTTTTAAAATGCCTAGGAAAAACTGAGGGGAAGAGTCAAATCAAACTATTATGCAGGAATGTGGAAAAGATAGTGGGAAATGAATACTACGGGCAGAATGGCGTATGAATATTTGAAAGCACTAGCCCTGACATCACTAGTCTCAGACCACCAGTACATAATACATTATGGAGATTAAGACTTGTGTACTGGAAAGCCAAATTTACAGCACTTGGCTCCCGGAAAGCCAAATTTACAGCACTTGGCTCCCGGAAAGCCAAATTTACAGCACCATTTGCCTAGCACTTGGCTCCGGAAAGCCAACAATTATTACAGAAACTTGGTCCTCCCGGAAAGCCAAATTTACAGCACTTGGCTCCCGGAAAGCCAAATTTACAGCACTTGGCTCCCGGAAAGCCAAATTTACAGCACTTGGCTCCCGGAAAGCCAAATTTACAGCACTTGGCTCCCGGAAAGCCAAATTTACAGCACTTGCTCCCAGAAATGCCAAATTACAGCACTTGGCTCGCGGAAAGCCCAAATTGCAGCAATTGGCTCCCGGAAAGCCGCAGCACTGGCTCCCCCAAATTTACAGCATAAAGCAAAACGACAGCACTTGGCTCCCGTGAAAGCCAAATTTGCAGCACTGGCTCAAGAAAACAACACCACTTGGCTCCCGGAAAGCCAAATTTACAGCACCATAGTGCCTAGTTTATTCAAGAAAACACAACAGACCACTTTCTGCTGATATGCCCCATAAATGAACATGGGAACCCTCACCCTCCCCTCCCCCTGGAAAACTATTTTCAAAAACTAAATATAACATTGACATCAAATTAATGCTTACTTACATACTGACAGTAATGAAAACATACAGAAAAAAAAAAATTAAATAAATTCATTTGCAGGACATGTTTAAAAAATATATGTCTGATTAGATAAAGATATGATTAGACATAGACGTTGAGGTGACAAACGGGAAATGAGGAAGGTAGGAAATAAAAAAGAAGGAATTCGATTGTGTGAAATAACCTAAACTGGCCAAGACAAAAGAAAGGTAAATGAAAAGTCGGGAGATGTGAACCAGCGTCATTGCAAACGGTTATAAACCATAAGTGCTCTGCCACCAGTACGGACAGCTGATAAGAATTGTCAGCCTGTGTCGCCTTCCGCACGTAACTCTGTGGCTACAGCGACGTTCCTCCATTAACCCCTATAGGATGGGTGTACCCCGGAAGCCGCCTGGTTTCGAACACCGGCAGTCGGCTGCAGCGAGTCGCAGGTGGATTTGAAAGCGAGCCTCTTATCGACTGCGCTAACGCGGCCACCGACAAGGTGCAAATAATAAGAAATGGGAAAACCTTTGGGTATATCACATACAACGCTAGTGCCCATTTAGGGATGTGTCGACCTGGGAGCTAGGTTCGTTAAAACAAAATCCAGCTAAGACAGAATCTGAACCCATGGCCTTCCAACCCACAGGCGAGCGTCTGGCCGATATACCACGGCGGCTTCCTTGAGTGTATGCTGTCATGTGCGTGTATACAAACAGGTATACCTCACTAACCACCCTCACTAGGTACTAGGCTACCGGTCCAAGCCAATAGTTTTGGTGGAATAACATTTCTTAGCCAAAATAACTGGCACAAAGAAACCACACCATAATTATAGCTAAAACTGCTCCAGTAGGTTTAACGTGGTGAATTTTTAGTTTAGTTTTTGTAAATTAATATTCTCGTATTCTTAGCAGTGATGTGAACGCGCTGCTCGCAAAAATCCTTGCATCGTCCTGTCTCTTTAAGGGCATTACCAATGTCGCGCGATCCACAGACTAGCCTCCGCAACTAAGGCAGAACCGACTAGTCTATCAGCTCTTTCATTGCCAAAAACATCTGCATAACCTGGGAAGAAGATGTAGGTAACTGCTCGCACTTGGGAGTTTCGCAATGACTCAAACAACTGTCTGGTTATGGAGCATGCCTCGACCCGCAAGGTCACTTAGCACCCATACGCAGGAACAGTCTTATGATTCCAGCCACATGAAAACTTGTATCACCACCATCACCGTGCTGCTGGTGGTTATAGAGAAGGCACCGCTGGCTTCCAGAACTGTTCCGTCTGCAGAACGAGCTGTGAATGTCGATGCACTCGTGTGTCCTAGTGCATATGTGTGTGTGTGGCGCGCACTTATGGTAGTACATATTTAACAAGTTCACATAACAGACTGACAACTTATTGTTTGTTTTGGTTATCTATATACATATTAACTATTTGTCTCGTACTACTTAAATTATTTTTATAGCTACTTCTGTTCTCACAACTCAAGAGGTCTGAACAATAAATATTTCAAATAAACTATGGACACTATACGTTTTCAATAAAATCAGATTGGGTAGTGGACAAAAATTATTTGAGGGTTTTTAGATTTTTTAACAACGGATCAGCATCATGGCAGACGGATGTAACCCATAAGTGCTCATTTCGTCTTCTAACTCAAGTTTTTCCAAAGCTCAGCACAGTGCACATGCACTATAGCATCGGCGAGGATCCTGAAATAATTGAAATACATGTCATTAAAAATGGAGAAATGCTAAAGCCATGTGTAGAAAGTTGAATGCATTAGTAAACACATGCCTGGAAAATGATTATGATAAATTGTGATGAATTCAAGAAGAGTGGAGAAATAAGAGACATATTTGAACAACCACTGGTAGCAACAGTGACAAGAAACAGAAAAGTGCGCTGTATAAAACACATTCTGATAAGAAACGAGCAGCGAATCACTGAACAGGCACTAAAATGCGAAATAAAGATGATTATGAATATTAATACAATTTAATAACTGAAGAATATATCAATAAGTTAAATCGCAAACCCTTTCTGTGTTTCATGTGTTTATTATAAATGAATAGTTAACTTCTCCTAAACCGTGGTCAATACACGGGTGAAATTTCCATATGCCATTATGACTACAATGTTTTAATTTAACAGTCACATTGGCGGCCCGTGCTTTTGTGCATTTCTTCATTTATTGCGACAATCAGTAAATGTAAACTTTTACCAGAGTTATATATCTTCTAAGATTTTCCATATTACTTCTCTTGAAAAGGGTAATCTGAAAATTATATTTCACTATTATCTTCGTTGAAACCACAAATGTGTACGTGTCTGAGACAGTACATTTGTCTGTCTCCAAAATAGTGGGGATGCCTCGGGTGCACTTAGGGGCAATGACTTGAGATACGGCAGCGGTAGAAACAAAGATGAAGTAGAAGACGGGATATTAAATATAGGGTTTTGGTTACACCCCTTTTAAAACTAGGTCTACATACAGAGCAGTGGTGGAGATCAAGATGAGGTAGAATAAGACCTTATTTCACCCGGTTGAAGTGAGGCAATTAAATCTAGTAGACATATAAATTGTATACTCCACAGTAATTCATAAAGAAAATACGCTACCATGAAAATGCACAAGAACACATTGTATGCATTGGAAGTATTGTAAAAACTGAACAGAGAAATTAGCTACAGATGTGCCAAAGCTAATCAAGTAATGGGTCAACTATCTCCCCTGTTGACACACAAGCCGATACCTCGGAGTACTAAAGTGAATCTTATCAGAACTATTTTTTGGCCAACACTATGCTATCAATGCCAAACGTGGACACTTACATCCTCCAATGAACGTAAAATTGTGACAACAGAGATGAAATGCCTTAAAAGAGCTGCAGGAGTTTCAAGGAAAGACAGAATACGAAATCATGAAATCAGACGAATGCTAGGAATAAAGCCAGTCTTACAGATCATCAAAGAACAACAAATGAAGTGGTTTAGACATCTTACAAGAATCCCCTGGTACTATCCGCCACAGCGAGCCACACTAAAACGTTACAACGGGTATAGAGCAAGTGGGAGACCTCGGAAAATATGGAGTGATGACATTAAGAACAGCCTTACAGAAATTAACATCAGTCTTAATAGTGCTCTTGACAGTGCTCATCAACGAACATGACATCTTCTCCCGACACTTCGATGAGGTAAAACGTGGAAGAGAAGAAGAAGGAGAAGAAGGAAGTATTGTAAACTTGAACATCTAATAGTCTACAAATATAAATATGAGTGTGTCCTATTCTGAAACTGATTCTTGAACTTTTATAAAACTAGAAAATTATCGGTATTTTTCTGAAGTACGACGGCCGGGCTAAAACACAACTAAAAAAAGTGGCTGTCTTGTGAAAATGGGACGTGTGGACAGTTAGGCATGATCGCCAACACCATCGTTGCATAAACATGATGATGATGAAAACAGCACAGTACTTTAATTCAAAGTTCTCAAGTCCAGGTCCGTGCCGATAGCCATTGACATGCCGGCAAACGTCTGCCCACAAGACGACAGAGATTTTCTCAACGCTGCAACAATTTGTCGTACAAATCCTTGAACGGTGGGGAAAATAACCGCCACTTCACTGTCTCATGCATTCATTTACAGTAAACATTTCCACCAGGTTGTTTTCTCAGTTGTGTTCACGGTCTGTGAGTTTGAAAAAGCTGTGGTTGCGGGTGAAAGTCAGACCGGATTTCTTGGAGAAGGCGAGATACCAGGAAGACATTGATTGGAATCGTTGGCAACAACGTCCACAGCAGCGAGCCGATCGTCTACACCACACACAACCCAAACAGCTTAGTACCGTCGTCTGTTTACATAGACGAGGTGTTAGAAGTATCACTTGGTGGTCACGGGCGGCTGTTTTTATTAAAGGTTTGTCCGTGAAAACTAAATACATGCAAACGTTTACTGGAACATGATTTAATTTTCAATAGTTCACTTGTCGGCAGCCGGTCAGTTGACCAGGCGCGAGCCCGCCATTGAATGACTGAGTCCGATAGAGACATGTCTATACAAGGATAGAGTACATACTTACAGTTCTGTATCACCAAGTATGACAGATATAACAACAAGTTACATTTTCGTGTGAATTATTGATATACTGCAACTTAGTGACCTGTGACCCGTTAAAATAAATAATAAATAACTGAGAGAAACTAGAATATATTGTTACATTTAATTAAAAGCTGAGAGTCATTCATTTCAACTAAAATCAAACCGAAAGTATATAGCAGAGTGGTGGGTTTTACTTTTACCCTTTATCAGGTAGGGCATCCATTTTTGTCCAGACGGCCCACCCCTTAAAAAAATATATATGTGTGTTTGTGTATATATATGTATATAAATATATATATGTGCCCAGCTCTCTAGCGTAGTTGGCTAAACCTGACTACGCGGTGACCGTGTGACGAACTCCTTGTAGTTCGGGGGGTAGGCAGAAAAGCCACATTTCTCCCAGATTTATACGGTATTTATCATGGAATCAAGGCAGAAGGGTTGCGATATCCATAATACAGAGCCTAAGGGTTAACAACTCATGGCTTCTGGATACTAAACATATATATATATATATATGATAGCAAGACCCTCAAGCACTCCTCCCCAAAAATGTTATTAACCCTGTGGAGACTGAGCCTTTTTTTGGAGTTTCAGTGCCAAAAAAGACCAAAGCCTTCAGGTGGTGATTCGCCTAGTTTTACACACAAAAATTATAAAAAAATAAAGCATTTAATCAACAAATACAAAACTATATATATTCGTGTAGGAAATTTAATGAATCGATAGAACATTTATGAATCAAACTGAAATCTCAAAACTTCAAATTAACTCTTCGGCTGTCCTCCGAAAAACGGTCCTAAATTATCGAGGCTAAGAAAATACCCTAACAGGGCCTCAGTCATATGTAAATTGCAGACCTCTTTCTGGCGACTACACTGCATACCGCGGAAAAGCTTCCCCTGAGTTAAAGTCACTCACGAGCAGTAGCTACCGCATCTCCTGTACTTTCCTCCATTTCATTTGCTCGTGAGTCCCAGCCATCTAGTTCAGCCCTGGATACTCTTGACGGTGGCGATATAGTTGCTGGTAAGAGGTCCCCAATTTACAGACGACTGAGGCCCTGTTAGGGTATATTTCCGGCCTCGATAATTCAGGACCATTATTTGGAGGATAGCCAACTATTCTGATTTGCAAGATTTATGCAAGCATTTGTTTTTAAAACTTCGGAACAAACATGGCTAACCTAAACAAATTAGATGAATTTTGTGATGGATGAAGCTTGAATAGGCTTGTGTTTTGGGAAGTAAGGCCCTTTCAGACATTTCTGGCACATGGTTCTACTCATTTTCATGCCTCCAGATATGTTTTGGTTACTATGACGCAACAGTTCTTTTGGCCGATGTTGGGCATCTGAAAAAATTTATGTTTAAATACCGTTCACATCAACTTTCTCGACAGCTGTCAATGAACAGCCCACATGTCCAAGACAACTTTCTCGACAGCTGTCAATGAACAGCCCACATGTCTAAGAAATGTGAGAAGCAATCTGATCAGCTGGTAGGAAAACTAGCCAGCCAAATTCAAGGCTTGCATTACATAGTGCCTACTGATCAGACCAGTAGTCTTTTTTGGCTACTTTTTTAACAGCTACCATGATAGACGCTTGTGGGAGCACCACAGTATCTCTCTCTCTCTCTCTCTCTCTCTCTCTCTCTCTCTCTCTCTCTCTCTCTCTCTCTCTCTCTCTCTCTCTCTCTCTCTCTCGTCTCTCATTTTTCTCTGTTAAGGCACTTTTTAATGAATACTGACACATTTTCCTTCTGAAGCTTGTATGAGCAGATAAAAGACAAGAGAAATGCTTGATAGCAATGGAAATGTAGCTTCTAGGAAGAATGTAAAGCATACCATTTATGGACATCATCATCAAGTTTCTTGCAGACTGACAGGAATGATCATGCCTTTTCACAATTTGCAACCTCCAGTAGCATTCATTAGCTTATATGCGGACACATTTCCATGTCCATAGACAACAGAAAAGTGAATTAGGGAGGAGTCTTGAGAAAGAGATGAACAGAAAAGTGAATGAGGGAGGAGTCTTGAGAAAAATATGAACAGAAAAATGAATGAGGGAGTCTTAAGAAAGTCAAAATGATACATCGATACGAGAAATTAAACGATAACAGTCAAGATTTTTAGAGCATCTTGTGAGGGAAAATAAATCTTGAAAACTCTCAATAGCTGGCAAACTTAAAAGGTGACAGAGCAAGGGAAAGACAAAGAGATAAATGCGTAGACATCGTGGCCACATGCGTAATCAGGACAAGAACACAGACCTGATTCAGGACTGGTGATCATATAAGATGTAGAGCTAAAACTGCCTGTGTTTTTCAGCATGGCACATGATGGTTATGGCAGTAACACCCATACTGTGTCTTAAATCACAGGCAGGAATGGGCCGATGTATTCCTGTTGTGGCATGCAGACAATTAATTATTCGTGGCTGCTTGATGACGATTGACCACTTCACAGTGAAGATTTGTTGTATTTAATTATTGTTGTACCTTGGCACTAGATTTCAGCCGGCACTTGCTTATCATATCTCAGGTAAAGTGTCATATCCGGTGTGCATTCTTGTATATTAGTGTCTTGGTCATTATTGTTTTCTGCAGTTGACTTCTAGAGGCACCAGTTGGACGAAACTAAAATAGTTTATTGTAATGTATATTTGTTTGTGTGATATATATATATATATATATATATATATATATATATATATATATATATATAATATATATATATATATATATATATATATATATATATATATATATATATATATATATATATTCTAAGTGTAATGTTATATCACTATAACATTTTATTTAGAATTATGTGTTACATGTTTTTAATGACAATTATCCATAATAGTTATCTATTTGATTTGATTCAAGAACCGACATCACAGCACTAGGGGCATTCCCATAAGCGATCCGTCCCCATCTTCAGCAGCCAGCGAATAGTTCCGATACTAATGGTGCCAGAAGCATTCTGATTAAACGTCCATCTTGCCTTTCCTCTGAGCCTCGAGCATCTGCCAGAACCTCTCGTCGCCCCCAACTGCATCAATCTCACCAGACTGTGGTGATCCATCTGCTCCTCCGAATTGTACACGCTCTCCCACAAAGCACTAACCACGTCCTGATAAATCTTCCACACAAAGCTGTCTTATATTCTTGGGTTAATTTTGCATTTACTATACGAATTTGTTGCACTATAAAAATTATTATAATTTTATTTATTTAAAAATAAAAAGGGAAAAATCACATGCATTTTTAAAGTAATTTTGATTTTTTGACATTCATGTCCCGGACGATCGTCTTTTACTTTGGGAGAACGTCTTTTACCTGTGGAAATTGTCTTATATTGGAAAGGATCATCTTATACTTGGGGAGATCATCTTGTACTCGAGGAGATTGTCTTATACTTTGAGAAATCGTCTTGTAAATGAGGAGATCATCTTGTACTTGGGGAGATTGTCTTATACTTGAGGAGATTGTCTCATACTTTGAGATATCATCTTGTATTTGGGAAGATTGTCTTATTCCTGGGGAGATACAGTAGGTCTCCTCATTACTGCCCAGACTTGGTACTGTAGAGATGAGGAACTTCAACCCTGACCTTGATTGGTATCTGTCACAGTGGGCTGTGATGTCCATGCCTGCCTATAGCACAGTGAAACACACTTGTCTGGAAAGACAGAAAGGGGACAGTCGCAGCATTATTCTGTGTAGAATGTTGGGGCTGTTCAACTGCCTGCAGTATCACACAAAGCTCAACACCCCATAGCATCAGTGACCACCCCCAGAGGTCTCCAAAACAACATTCTTGTGACCCCAGACCACAGAATGTAAAAACCTCAGCTTTCAGTGAGTGGAATCAAATGGCTCAACCACTTCTCCACTGAGACGCTACAGGGATTTATAATCCGGTGTCCTTCCACAGATGTGACTGTAACATATGATCCCTTGTGATGTCTCAGATCTGAAGGTGGAATCTGTCATTTAACAGATCTGAAAATGATTGAAACACATTTTTGACTGTAATCTAAATCTTAACAGTGAAGAGGATAAGATATTTCATTTAGCTAAAATATACAGATTTAAATAAATTGAAATATGTGATTTACTTAAATTTCACAGGTCAAAAGGAACCTATTGTGCATCTGTCAGAGTTGAGACATTTTGGTACAGTGAGGTCAGCGGTAGAATTGTGCAATCATTTCGACATGTCTGAGAAGAAAAAGTTTGAGCGCCTGCCTAAAACAGTGGTTCCAACCAACTACAACCTCAGACTGACTCCTGATCTGCAGAAGTTTGTCTTCGATGGCTTTGAGGAAATTACAGTTAATGTGAGGAATGTATTCATTGTGTGTGTCTCTCCCTGTACATCTGTCTCTCTGACGCTCTTCCTCACACATACTCCTTGTGGGTTCCGAAGCCCCATTATGGGACATACAAGAATAGACCCCTGCCTCCCTAACAAGAGTAAGAGTCAACTAAAGAGGGGGGGGGGGGGGATTTCTTTAAAAGCTGGGAGTGCGTCTGCCTGAGAGGCAAGGAAACAACAGTAAACATGGCATGCAGCTAAGTCTGAGCTGTAAAACAGATGTGCATGCAACACACGGATTCTGTAATATGAAGACTAAGTCCAAAAGTGGATGTACAACCAAAGCTTTCCACCGGAGTTATAGCTGGCTAACACAAACAAGATCTCTCAGAATACACATGCGCATGCATGGACACACACACACAAAATTTCTCTCTGTGTTGGGTGTGGTTGTTAAACGTTTCATTGCTGCATCACATGAATGTATTGTTGACTTGACGCCATGCATAACCTGAAATAACAAGAGTTGTAGATTAATTATCCTAATGTAAAAAAGATCTGCCATAGTAAAGAAAATAATGCATTTATATACAGTTCTGTGAAACATGGATCTTGACAGCTGAACTCGAACGGAAGATACAAGCATTGGAAATGTGATGTTTCAGAAACATTCTTGGCATATCGTACAGAGACCACATTACAAACAAAGAAGTTCGCCATATAATTATACAGCATGACTATGAACCTCTTTAAACTACTGTGAAAAGGCAAAAAATGCAATGGTGTAGACATATAATAAGATTTAACGGCCTCTCAATATCTAAGTTTCTTTAGTGATTTGTTAATGAGTCAGATGTTGGTATTTTAAGAGTTACCTTTGTCTTTGTTAGATTGTCTCAGAAGTCAGTGAGATCAAGCTGCATGCCAATGAGATCACTATTCAGGAAGCAACATATAAAGGTATTGTATGTGACAGTAGTGTGTGTAGTGTGACAACACTTTTGTGTCATGTGACAACAGTTTGTGTCATGTGACAACATTTTGTGGCATGTGACAACAGTTTGTGGCATGTGACAACAGTTTGTGGCTTGAGACAACAGTTTGTGTCATGTCACAACAGTTTATGTAAAGCGTGACTTAAGGATTGCCTAACGGTTACAGTCAGAGGGTAGAAAAACTGGCTGACAAGCGGTGCCTTGCCAGATAAACCATAGGGCGCCTGTGAAGAGTTCAAGCGCAGCCATGAAGAGTTAAAGTGCACCCATGAATTCAAGCGCAGCCATGAAGAGTTCAAGCTCACCTGTGAAGAGTTCAAGCTCACCTGTGAAGAGTTCAAGCACACCCGTCAAGAGTTCAAGCGCAGCCATGAAGAGTTCAAGCACACCCGGGAAGAGTTCAAGCTCACCCGTGAAGAGTTCAAGCACACCCGTGAAGAGTTCAAGCACACCCGTGAAGAGTTCAAGCTCACCCGTGAAGAGTTCAAGCACACCCGTGAAGAGTTCAAGCACACCCTTGAAGAGTTCAAGCTCACCCGTGAAGAGTTCAAGCACACCCTTGAAGAGTTCAAGCACACCCGTGAAGAGTTCAAGGTCACCCTTGAAGAGTTCAAGCTCACCGGTAAAGAGTCCAAGCACACCCGTGAAGAGTTTAAGCACACCCGTGAAGAGTTCAAGCACACCCGTGAAGAGTTCAAGCGCACCCATGAAGAGTTCAAGCACACCCGTGAAGAGTTAAAACACACCCGTGAAGAGTTCAAGTGCACCGAAAAAGATCAAACCTCCTGTGTTATTAGAGAAAACTTCCAGGCCCGGTAGATTCAGGTTGCTCTACCATGTGTTGACCAAACTGGACAGGGTTCCAGTCACACCTGTTGCTGAAATCATCTTTGCTGTATGCAGCTCGGATGGCATTGAGGACATCACTCCTGATCACTGCCAGAGCAGTCATAATACCCTGATTGCCTGCTAAACAGCCTGGACGCTCATTGCCTTGAACATGGCGCGGTGATTTATGTCACAGGCGTGAGGGGAAGTTAAGTCCAACATGATGTGTATAAGGAGATACTCCGTACGTCACTCGGGCGCCAGTCCTTTAATATCCTGGTTGTACGGAACCTCACGCAAGACCCCGCAGCCACGTCCTCGTCGTGCGCCACGGATAATGTCTCAAATGAGCATTAACAGAGCTGCCAGGGGATCTCGGAGTTTGGCGGCCCCCAGAGGTGATGTGTCCCTGTGGCTCTCATCAGCCCGCCCCCAAACGCGCTATGGTGAAAAAATTGTTATCAAAACTCATTAGGAACATAAGTAGGTCTGCCTCAACGTACAGCCAAAATTACAACCCTTGGTAAAAGACTGCGGATAAAGAGAAACATTGTTCACTGCACATCCTCTGTTAACCCTCAGTGTCGTCGTCACCGCGCTGGGGTACACCACAATAGAAACCATCCATAGGCTGGCCATTCATGTACATCCTCGGTTAACCCTTCAGTGTCGTCGTCACCGCGCATGGGGTACACCACAACAGCAACCATCCATAGGCTGGCCATTCATGTACATCCTTGGTTAACCCTCAGTTTCGTCCGTCACCGCGCTGGGGTACACCACAACAGCAACCATCCATAGGCTGGCCATTCATGTCCTTGGTAAACCCTCAGTGTCGTCGTTCACGCGCTGTGGTACACCACAACAGCAACCATCCATCGATCGGATGGCTAAGCCTAAATTTCCGACAAAACTAGGATCATACGGATCAAAATCTGACCTCAAAATTTTGAATTGAACTGAAAAAGACCGAATGTTCACACCCAAAGACACCACTACGCCCGAGTGTTGGGACAAAACTGATAACGATATGCCCTGATGCAGGATGTAAATCTGTCGGGCTAACGGCTCGCCAAAGAAATCTAACGTGTGAAGAAAAAGAATGTACCTATCTGTGTGGTTACAAAAGTCCAAAACCCGCGGGCTGCTCCCCGCTGACTCCCCAGAGGGCGCAGCCCCTGTCGAGCGGGAGGCTGATACTTTTGTGAGGTTAAGCAGGCTTGTGCAGGACGTGACGATTCCCTGGGTGAGCCCAGAACCAGAGCGCCATGTGTCGGCTCTGCATACATGTGATGGCCTCTTGGATGGCGGGAATGCCTAAGATCTGCCCCTGCCTTCCCTTGAGGCTTAACTGTTTCCACAGGGGGCCGACCCAGGGGTACTTCCGGTGGCAATACCTGCGGCAAAGGAGACGAAGTGGACACCACACAAATCAGGTCCAACGCCTCGACCCACACAAAACAATGGCCACAGTCACCCTAGAAATAGGCCTGACGTCTTCCTTCGAAGTCGCGTACAGCTGCCCATGAGGCAGGAAATAAAAAACGGTTGTACACGCAAAAAATCAGGTCCAGGTAAAAGCCAAAAGTCCAAGCGGACGATTACCTGACCTTCCACTGGAATTCACAGCCGGTGTTCGATGAAAAATGAAAAAAAAAAAAAAATTGCCTTGAACACTTGCATGGCCGGGCACAAACATAAAAGCTGGACTCACCAGTCGCCATGCACCTAAGGTGACAAACCAATCTTGCCTGTTGAAGCTGGCTATTAATGGAGTATGTATGACTGAGCTGAGAACTTCCTGGTTCACTCCCCTGATATGACTATGCAGTAGGACAGAAATAAACAAGGGACATGAAGAAGCAACTCAACAGATTTGTCACTCACATCTTTCTATTTGTTTTAATAACATGAGATTTATATTTTAAGGAATAGAAAGAACAGGAGAATTAGTGATTAATGGCAAAATTGACGGGTAGAGAATAGGCGAAGGTATAAATAAGTACAGTGATGGCTTGGCCACATGTATGGGGCAGGTGAGCATTAGTGACCTGATTCCTAGGGCTCTTGATTGTGTATGATGGCCAATCATTACTGCCCATGCTTACCCACATGGCACATCATGATGATCATATTTCTACTGATTGGGGGCATTCTTTGAAGAGGGATTGCATCTGCCCGAAAGCCAAGGAACCATCCACAGAAATAAGCCAGATCTGTCAAACGGATGTGCATACAACCATCAGATTCTAGTAGAAGACTAAAGTCTAAACATGAATGGACATCTAGAACTTTCTGAGTTTACAGCCGGTGAACGCAAAGAAAGAGGAACATATGGCTGCTGTGCTACAGCCGCTGCCATACCCAGCTTAGTACAATGTTCAAAATGAGGGTGATAGAAGCATCCATTCTTTGTATCGACAGGGGTCCTGTAAAGTTATGAAGTGACATTGTTTTCATGGAAACACCTCCTCATTTTAACTCATTGGTTAATTCTTAGGTGATGCTGCAGAGGTAGCAGCCAAAGTTCATTACAACAAAGAACAAGAGGAGGTCACATTAGAGTTTCCATCTAATGTTGGGGTAAATATCTTCTGACAGCTTCTATGTTTTTGTTTGAGTACATGTTCAGTCAGATAATGTGCTGGGTTACTCTGGACTGACACTCTTGCTTGCCACTCTATATAGAGCAGTGTTCTTTGTTCTCAAGTTATTTATATTTTTTTCTCCCTTTAAATAGTGTTCCCCATGTGAATTCTGGGATGCCATAATAGGAAACAAACAGAAATAAATCCACTGCCCCTTAACAATGGGTTGAAATGAATTCTGTCCGTGTTCCATAGTTGTGGATTTCAAGCTGTACGATAGACATGGCCAATAAGACACCTTTTTTTGGGGGTGCCTAGTTGACCATGTTCTTAGTGCACTTGTATTCATGGCGAAGCGCAGACGCCGTCTGGAGGTGACAGGATTTAATTCCCGGCACGGTAACTATAGCTTTCGATTTTTATGTTGTCTAGTGTGTTCTTCTATCTTTCTACTTCTTTCTATGAATGCCGATCAATACACTTTCTGTTACTCGATTAATTCATAATATTTAACGGCCTCAAAGGTTCCCCCCCCTCTGTTTATTTATTTGTCCCTTAACAAGCATGTTGTAAAAATGTCACCTAATTAGGAATGTTTTGCTTCAAAGTCAAAGTGCATCTGCCTTAGAGGTCTGCATTTAAAAAAGCTTGATCTGTAAAACAGATGTGCACGCAAAACTCAGGTTTTAGAACAAAACTAAAGTGGGTCTACAAGTAAAACTTTCTGCCAGAGTTTACAGCTGAAAATGCGAAGAAGCAAGAAGATGTGGCAGTGTTCAAGTAAATGAAGATGTATGACCTCACACTTTGAGGAGTGTTGGGTCTTCTGTGCATCCTCTTTTATTGCTTGGGTAGCATATGGCAACAGAACTTGTCACAGCCACCCATGTCACATACACCAGTGTCACAGCCACTCATGTCACAGCCACCCATGTCACAGCCACTCATGTCACAGCCACCCATGTCACAGCCACTCATGTCACAGCCACCCATGTCACAGCCACCCATGTCACAGCCACCCATGTCACAGCCACTCATGTCACAGCCACTCATGTCACAGCCATCCACTCTAAACTCGTACACTCTCTCAAGCACATGCATACCTGAACCTGTGGTGTGCTGACTGCCGCCATCTCTTATCTGACACATGTTTCATCATCTCTCATCTGACACATGTTTCATCATCTCTCATCTGACACATGTTTCATCATCTCTCATCTGACACATGTTTCATCAACATCTCTCATCTGACACATGTTTCATCAACCACAGCCTGGCCAGGGTGTCCTGTCTATCAAGTTTACTGGAGAACTCAATGACAAGATGAAGGGCTTCTATCGCAGCAAATACACCGTTGGAGAAGAGGAGAGGTTCGCAGCAGTCACTCAGTTCGAGGTATGTTTTTATTTAAGTAATGCAAACAGTGCATGGCACAGCTTAGTGCCTGCCATATTTCATTACTAGATTTACATACCTCAGCTTATAAAGGAGCACAAAGATGAATCCTTCCCTCTGAAATGCACAGATCACATTGTCTCTAGTTACAGTGTACACCTCACTGGTGGAAGTACAAGATAGCAGCGTGATTACCGCATAAGTTTGAGATTGACCACATGTCACAGTCGTTATGTTAAGTTCATTATGCACCTGAGAAGATACAGCAAAAACATCGCAGGCAATAACATGTTCTAGGTGAACACATGTTTTACATTCATCGCATCTGTCAACATGTGGCATGTCTAGCATGGTGAATGGGGAGTGTGTCACCGAAAGGGGGAAATAGAATGTCAAGATACAATGCACAGATATCCAGAAGTTTTAGAGAACAGCATGAAATAACTATAGACACTGTTAGTAGGTAGGGTACTTAACGTTACACGGGATTGGTAATTTAGAACATCCGTCGCTTGAACAGACCAGGTTTCAAGAAAGTAAATAGTATGCTCTTCTCTGACTCTTGGTTCAGCCATGTAACTTTTCCCCTGAAACTTCACTGAGGTAATTGGAGGAAGACAAGAAGAAGAAGAGCCTTCTAAGATATGGACAATGATATTAATGTTGTGCAAGTTACAAATCTCTCAGAAGTCTAAACTGAATAGGCCAACTATTAATTAGTTACATTTCAGTATAAGCCTTCACCTAGGAAAACTTGTTTGCATGTTGCTCTAATGTAAGTAAGTAGAGCAAAGGACCTGGGCATTTGATCATCATGTGCCCTGCCAACCGGCGTAGGTGCTCATGCGTCTCCACAGACCACGATCCCTGGTTGCCTCGGACAGCTCTCTTGATGATATCCTTTCATTTATTGTTTCAGCCCATCCAGCATCGTCTCTCTTGGTCTGCCTCTACCCCTTTCCACTGATCTTTCCAGTTGTCACGATGTTCTCCAGTGTCTCTCTTCTCATTGGGTATATGATGCCCGGCTCATTTTTGTAGGCCAGTTGACACTCGAAGCCGGATGTGGTAAGCATCACATCAGCCACCTTTACCTCCCAGGACTTTACCACATATCTTTGTTATACTTTGTTGATCTAGGAGCCAAGCTCAGTTTTTAAGAAAAACATTGGAATCTGTGAGGATTCGAACCCAAGATCTTGGTCCAGTAGGTGAGCATCTGGCTGCTACACCACAATAGCTCAACTTGATTAATTTGTAACAAAAGTAAAGAGTTTCAGGTGAATATTTTGTTGATCTGTCCGCAGGCGACAGATGCCAGACGGGCGTTCCCTTGTTGGGATGAGCCAGCTGTTAAAGCCACTTTTGATATTACATTGGTAGTGCCCAAAGACAGGGTGGCATTGTCCAACATGGTAAGTGATGAAAGTGCCCAGAGACTTGGGGGAGGGGGAGCATATGGTGGTATTGTTTGGCATGGTAAGTGCTGAAAGTGAATGATTGCTCAGGGAGTTGTATATCTGACATGGTCAAAGTGACCAAACAACTGTACCTTTCCCTACAACAGGCTGAACCCGGGTCACTATGTTATAAATTCAACACACAATTTACTGCTTTTCTATGACACTTCATACGTGCCATAATTTAATATCTTTCTAATATTTCTCATCCCGTAGACCATTATTATCTCAGTCGGCCTGTAAGACTTTTGATGTTGTACTGCTTCTTCCTGCTCATCAGTTCTATGTTATGTGTGAGGTTTCTTTATTGTTCCTGTCATCCGTTCTATTAGTTTATTTTATTTTTCCTGTACAGTGTACTTCAGCTTCTGAGACATGTTATTGTTCCCGGGCCAGGTCTTTTGAATGATCCCTTTGGGATGCAGAGGGGTTGAGCCACACAGAGGGGTTGAGCCACACAGAGGGGTTGAGCCACACAGAGGGGTTGAGCCACACACAGGGGTTGAGCCACACACAGGGGTTGAGCCACACACAGGGGTTGAGCCACACACAGGGGTTGAGCCACACACAGGGGTTGAGCCACACACAGGGGTTGAGCCACACACAGGGGTTGAGCCACACAGAGGGGTTGAGCCACACAGAGGGGTTGAGCCACACAGTGGGTGTGAGCCACACAGTGGGGTTGAGCCACACAGTGGGGTTGAGCCACACAGTAGGGTTGAGCCACACAGTAGGGTTGAGCCACACACAGGGGTTGAGCCACACACAGGGGTTGAGCCACACAGTGGGGTTGAGCCACACACACAGAGGGGTTGAGCCACACACACAGAGGGGTTGAGCCACAAGTGGTTGTGGCCCAGAGCTCACACAGGTCAAGACTTATCCACTCTTCTCCACAGTCAACCTAGAAAACAGTTCCCAACTAGGGGGCCAAAGTTGATAGGATCAACATATCCATTGAAGTCGGAATGCATCTTATCTGAGAGGTGATGATTCAACAGTCTGCACAAAGTAAGCTTGATCTGTAAATTGGATGTGCACACAACATCAAGTCCTGGAACAAGACAAGTCTAGAAGTGGATAAACAACCAGGACTTTGTGATGACATTTAGAGCTGGTGACTGCAAGGAAGAAGAATGTTAAACACTTGAAGGATATCTGATGTTTCATTAAAAGACATTTCTGTTACATTTTGTTTGTTGTTGCAGCCTGTAGCCTCAGAGAAAGACGTTGATGGAAATCTGAAAGAGGTGACTTATGCAAGGACGCCCATAATGTCCACGTACCTGGTAGCATTTGTTGTTGGAGAGTATGATTACATCGAGGCCAGGGATGAGGACGATGTATTAGTCAGAGTTTACACGCCAGTCGGCAAGACAGAACAAGGCAAATTTGCTTTAGACGTAAGTAGGATAAGTAAAATGAATACAGTTAGAAGTGTTTGGTCTTTCCCTGTGGGTTCCAGGGCCCCATTGTGCCCCCTAACGAGCACGCCACAAAAGGTGACTAATTAAAGTCTGAGGGCATCTGCCTTCTGAGAGGCAAGGAACCACAGACTTCTGTAACATGGATGTGCACACAGAGTTCAAGTTTTTCTGAGAGGCAAGGAACCACAGACTTCTGTAACATGGATGTGCACACAGAGTTCAAGTTTTTCTGAGAGGCAAGGAACCACAGACTTCTGTAACATGAATGTGCACACAGAGTTCAAGTTTTTCTGAGAGTCAAGGAACCACAGACTTCTGTAACATGGATGTGCACACAGAGTTCAAGTTTTTCTGAGAGGCAAGGAACCACAGACTTCTGTAACGTGAATGTGCACACAGAGTTCAAGTTTTTCTGAGAGGCAAGGAACCACAGACTTCTGTAACGTGAATGTGCACACAGAGTTCAAGTTCTTCAACATGACTAAAGTCTAGAAGTTAATGAATAACCAGAATTTTCAGCTGGAACTTACAGTTGGTGAATGTTGAGAAGAGATTTACATTCGATTGCCAGAAAATCCTAACAGTTATTCGGACCTATTTGATGAGGCTGGGTTGGTCAGAGAACGGATCTGCCACTGGTGGCTGTTGAACCAAGAGCACTGACCACGAGACTTACATTAGCCTGTTTAATGTGCATAATTTTGAGAATTATTTATAACTCACATTAATCTGTTCACTGTTGATCATTTTAAGAGTTGCGTAAAACTTCATTAACCTCTGGACTGATCATTTTGACAGTTGTTAATTTCTTATTTTAGCCTGTGCACTGTTCATCATTTTGACACTTACATGTCACTTACATTAAGCATGTTCACTGTTCATCATTTTGACACTTACATGTCACTTACATTAAGCATGTTCACTGTTCATCATTTTGACACTTACATATCACTTACATTAAGCATGCTCACTGTTCATCATTTTGACACTTACATATCACTTACATTAAGCATGCTCACTGTTCATCATTTTGACACTTACATATCACTTACATTAAGCATATTCACTGTTCATCATTTTGACACTTACATATCACTTACATTAAGCATGTTCACTGTTCATCATTTTGACACTTACATTAAGCATATTCACTGTTCATCATTTTGACACTTACATATCACTTACATTAAGCATGTTCACTGTTCATCATTTTGACAGTTACATAACAAGTCCATGATGTAACATCTATCCTAATGTTAAATATTAGGGTACCACAGAGTACTTGTTGATTTACAACTAATTTAATTGTCCTGCAGCATCCAAAGAGCTAATGAAGCATCTTTTTTATGTTTGTATCATGTTTTGCTTCAGTAAATATGTTGACTGATGATAAAAGTTCCAAAAGTCTGGACACATAGTCAACAAAAATTATATTTTCAAGAAATGAAATGTACTGGTGTTTCAGGTGGCTGTGAAAACATTACCATTCTACAAGAAGTATTTTGGTATTGCCTACCCCTTGCCCAAAGTGGATCTCATTGCAATTGCTGACTTCTCTGCAGGTAAGCTTTCTTATTATTGTTTTGTATTTAATGAACAGCATAGTCTTTCCAGTTTGCTGGGACATTTGACATCTAAAGCCTCTGTGAAAACTAAGAGTTTGAAGTATGCTCCAAATTAGTTGTCTCTTATGACATGCTTTTTGGGTAGGCAGTGGGTTTGTTCTTGTTTCCCCTTTAGTAGCGCCCCGGAACTAACAGATTGAAAGCCCAATCTTCCAGACGGTTGACCAGCTAAATTTAGTTGCTCTTGTACTCTGTTCCTGTTTTTGGCTTTCCGCTCCAGCTTCGTAGAAAGAGGCAAGATGTGCTTGACTAGATTACCTTTCTCATGATGGTGCTACAGACCTAGCAAGCTGGCAGTGGGTATAACTTGCTTGTAGAAATAAGAAGAACAGCATGTGATTCTTGTTATAGGTACTGAGTGAAGCTACTCGTCGATGCAAATGCTTCGTAATGCCGGGATGTCGGGTTCGATCCCAGCTGGGGGCTATGCGCCTTGCGTGGTTTCGACAGGGGTATCAAGAAAGCTGACCGTCCAGAAAGCAATGGCAAACTATTGGACGTAAATTTGTCTAGAAAAACCACACAACAGACGGGGCCTGTTGGGGTTGGTTCTGCAGCGTCCTGTAAAGGATACGCAACTAACCATGTATAGGGGTTATTGATATTTTTTATTGGATGTGGAAATTAGCTCCACAGGTGAGCTGTGGAGCATGTCTAGCCTGTTTTGTGCAAGTCTTTCCTAGGTTTATGCTAGAATCTGGAAAGAAAGAGAGAGGAAGACAAAGAAGATTCTTGACAGTCATTTGTCATTTCATAGAGGGGTGTCAAAACATGAACTGATACATGCAGCTGTGGATCACAAATTGTGGAGAGCACGATCGCCCACGCCAGTTGGCTAGGCACTTGATAATGATGGTGATAGAATCAGTCTGTGTTACTGATCTCTATCATGGTATGTTCTGTGTAGGTGCCATGGAGAATTGGGGTCTCATAACCTACAGGGAAACAGCACTGCTGGTGGACCCAGAAAACACCTCGGCACGGGTCAAGCAGTGGGTTGCACTTGTTGTTGGACATGAACTAGCCCACCAGTGGTTTGGAAACCTGGTCACTATGGTTAGTGTTCGTTTAATAGTCTGCTGTTTTGACTTGCCAACCAAAAATTGCATGTTCCTTGTCCGAAAATTTACTAGATTTTTAGCTCAGTGATTATTATCAGTAACATGACATGTTTTAGCTTCTTCATGTTTATTGTCGGAAACTTCACATGTTTTGTTTAGTTCCTTTCTGTTCATTGCCAGAAACTTCACATGTTTTATTTAGTTCATTTCTGTTCATTGCCAGAAACTTCACATGTTTTAACTTCTTCCTGTTCATTGCCAGAAACTTCACATGTTTTAGCTTCTTCCTGTTGATTGTCAAAAACTTCACACATTCCAGCTCCTTCCTGTTGATTGTTTGAAACATCACATATTTTAGCTTCTTCCTGTTCATTTGCAGTAACTTCACATATTTTAGCTTCTTCCTGTTGATTGTCAAAAACTTCACACATTCCAGCTCCTTCCTGTTGATTGTTTGAAACATCACATATTTTACCTTCTTCCTGTTCATTTTCAGTAACTTCACATGTTTTAGCTTCTTCCTGTTCATTGTCAGAAATTTCAAATGTTTTATCTTTTTCCTGTTCATTGCCAGAAACTTCACATGTTTTAGCTTTTTCTGTTCATTGTCAGAAACTTCACGTTTTAGCTTCTTCCTGTTGATTGTCAGAAATTTCAAATGTTTTGTCTTTTTTCTGTTCATTGCCAGAAACATCACATGTTTTAGCTCAGTATTCATATTTTAGCTTCTTTCTGTTCTTCAGAAACTTCACACATTTTCTTCTAAAATTTATGCAAATTTATTTCAATATTAAATGTTGATTGAAAAAAAAATAATTTAGATGCATGTTTTGAACAGGACGTTGCAGAACTAACCCCATCATTTTTTGGCTGTTGTAGTTTTTCAAGGCAAATTTATGGCTACTAGTTTGCCATTGCTTCTCAACGTTCAGCTCTTGATACCACTGTTGATGCCTATACAAGGTGATCACCAGCCGCTGGGATCGAATCTGCCACCCCGGCATGCAAAGTGCATTCACAGTACCTAAGCCACAGACACTGACGGTGTTGATAAGATTCAGAAGTCAAGATTGTATCAGACAGTACTTGGTACTTAACTGCATAAGACTGTGGTCAGGTGTATTTGAAATCTACAGTTCTGGTAGTATAACTAAACTCTGTCATTTCTGAATCACCCAGTGATTCAGTTTCACAGCAAACTTTGAAGTAAAGATATTAATGAAGGCTGCTATAGTCTTCCTAAGACTAGTCTAGGATATATTACAAATACACCTTCTTCTGGCAGGGGTTGACCAGGGTGGTGTTGGTGGCTCTGTGGCCCCCCATGGAACCTGAAAACTCACACCGGGGATATTAATATTGAGAATGATGTATTTCCAGGAGTGGTGGACTCACCTGTGGTTAAATGAAGGATTTGCCTCATGGATAGAATACCTGTGTGTTGATTACTGTTTCCCCGAGTACGATGTGTGGACACAGTTTGTCAACAACGACCTGGGCCAGGCTCTCAACATGGATGCCCTCAACAACAGCCATCCTATTGAGGTCAGCAAACCACAGTTTTACTGTGTTTCTTTTCTTTCTCCGTTACTACTAGCTTTTACATTTTTAAAAAAAATCTAGACCATCTTTTACGGTAACAAGGATCTGTTTGTTTGATTTATTGTTTTATGTTTTCTAGACCAGCTTTTACCATAACAAGTATCTGTTTATGTTTGATTTATTGTTTTATGTTATCTAGACCAACTTTTGTCTTTAAAATCTTGTTATCTAGACTTTAAAATTTATGACTACATCTGTAATGCTTATAATTTTGTTGTTGTCTAGACTGTATAGTTTATGACCTAACCTGATTTATGATCAAGTAAAACATTTTTTTTTCCATCTTGTTGTTATCCAGATAATTTATGACCTAACTTGTATTTTGTTTATTCTTGCTATACAGTTAATGACCTAACCTGTATTGTTTATCTTGTTGTCTAGACTACCATTCATGACCTAACCTGTATAGTTTATCTTGTTGTCTAGACTACCATTCATGACCTAACCTGTATAGTTTATCTTGTTGTCTAGACTACCATTTATGACCTAACCTGTATAGTTTATCTTGTTGTCTAGACTACCATTCATGACTTAACCTGTATAGTTTATCTTGTTGTCTAGACTACCATTCATAACTTAGCTTGCAATATTTTTCACCTTATTATCCAGACTAAATTTGATGATCCCGCCGGATGTATGTTTCAGGTTGAGGTTGGCCATCCCTCGGAAGTGGATGAAATCTTTGATGCCATCTCTTACAGCAAAGGCTCCTCTGTCATCAGGATGCTACACACCTATCTAGGAGATGAGGTCAGTGGGGGAACATCTGTCAGTCAGTGGGGAACATCTGTCAGTCAGTGGGGAACATCTGTCAGTCAGTGGGGAACATCTGTCAGTCAGTGGGGAACATCTGTCAGTCAGTGGGGAACATCTGTCAGTCAGTGGGGAACATCTGTCAGTCAGTGAGGGGAACATCTGTCAGTCAGTGGGGAACATCTGTCAGTCAGTGGGGAACATCTGTCAGTCAGTGGGGAACATCTGTCAGTCAGTGGGGAACATCTGTCAGTCAGTGGGGAACATCTGTCAGTCAGTGGGGAACATCTGTCAGTCAGATGGTCAAGGTTTTCTGTCCATTTGTGTGTGTGTGTGAGTGTTCTTCCAGTATACCACTGGCTATTCTGGGATTGCAGTAACAGTTGCTTGCCTGTTGGCCTGAAGGTCTTGGGTTCAAATCCCCACCAGATGGATATTTTAGATTGACCTGGAGCTCTCAGATTGACCCAGCCTAAAATGGTTACCAGGAAGTTTCCTGGGGAGTAAAGGCAACCAGCTTGATGTTGACCACATCCCCCCCTCAGGAGCTGATTGGTCTATTAACATATTGGTCTAGTACAAAAAGCCTAATTCTAATGTTATTTCAGTTCTAACATATGCCAACGCATGTTGGAGAAACACCAGAGAGATGGAATAGAAGTTAAATGCATTTTAAAATAAAAAATAAAAAATCATGAGCTCAAAAAAGGATGATTTCAAAAAATAGTGAGATAAGAGAAATGTCTGGACAAATACCTGTATCGACTGCAATAAGACACACTAGGTAGAAATATATTAGGCACACTCTGAGGCAAAATAAGCAAAGAATTACAGAACAAGTACTGAAATGGAAAACAAATGGTCTGAGGAAATGAGGACATCCAAGGGAAATTTTGAGAAGAACATTATTAAAGCGACCAAAAATGCTGGGCTGAACGCCATGTCAGAAATCAAGAAAGTTGCATGTTTAACAGCGGTGTAAAAGAATTGAATGTGAGCCCTATGTGATATCTAATGGCACACAAAGGATGATGATGATGACTATAAGCCTGGTGTGGCAGTGGTATGTCAAAAGTTCCTTACTTTGTTTACGACTTCTCAAGTAGAAAGCGAGCAAAGAATCAGTAGAAGAGATGTATGGCGGTATTGACTCGTTATCTTAATGATATAGTGTACACCAAGTTTGTATCTTCCCTGTAGCAACATATGGATGTGAACTGTGAACATTCTAGACATGTTGTTACCTAAACCATCTTCCATACTACATGTTTTAACATCTTGTCAGTTTTCTAGACCTGTTGTTACACAAGCCATCTTCCACGCTACAGGCATTTAATGCTTTTTCTGTTGTTGTTTTTAGCCAGATTTTCCTATCAGAAAAGAGATTGTGTATTAAGGGTTTATTATGTTCTGAGACATGGAATGTTCACATCTTTGTGCCCACAGGATTTCCGCAAGGTTGTATGTATAGGGTTTATTATGTTCTGAGACATGGAATGTTCACATCTTTGTGCCCACAGGATTTCCGCAAGGGCATGAACTTGTACCTGACAAGGCATCAGTATCAGAACACATTCACAGAGGACCTGTGGCAGGCCTTGGAGGAGGCCAGCGGCAAGCCCGTCGGGCAGATGATGAAAACCTGGACCAAACAGATGGGCTTCCCTGTTCTCAAGGTTTTTACATTGTTACTTCTTCTGTGTTATTCTGTGGAAGTTTGTTTGTAGCTTTGAGACTAAACTGACTGGTTCTTATCAGAGGAGGGGTATCAGAATGGTTTCCTAACTAGCTTTGAGACTAAACTGACTGGTTCTTATCAGAGGAGGAGTATCAGAATGGTTTCCTAACCAGCTTTGAGACTAAACTGACTGGTTCTTATCAGAATGGTTTCCTAACTAGCTTTGAGACTAAACTGACTGGTTCTTATCAGAGGAGGAGTATCAGAATGGTTTCCTAACCAGCTTTGAGACTAAACTGACTGGTTCTTATCAGAGGAGGAGTATCAGAATGGTTTCCTGACCAGCTTTGAGAATAAACTGACTGGTTCTTATCAGAGGAGGAGTATCAGAATGGTTTCCTAACTAGCTTTGAGACTAAACTGACTGGTTCTTATCAGAGGAGGAGTATCAGAATGGTTTCCTGACCAGCTTTGAGACTAAACTGACTGGTTCTTATCAGAGGAGGAGTATCAGAATGGTTTCCTGACCAGCTTTGAGACTAAACTGACTGGTTCTTATCAGAGGAGGAGTATCAGAATGGTTTCCTAACCAGCTTTGAGACTAAACTGACTGGTTCTTATCAGAATGGTTTCCTAACTAGCTTTGAGACTAAACTGACTGGTTCTTATCAGAGGAGGAGTATCAGAATGGTTTCCTAACCAGCTTTGAGACTAAACTGACTGGTTCTTATCAGAGGAGGAGTATCAGAATGGTTTCCTGACCAGCTTTGAGAATAAACTGACTGGTTCTTATCAGAGGAGGAGTATCAGAATGGTTTCCTAACTAGTTTGTATCTGTCAGAGGGGGACAACTCCCCATGTGGACAAGCACTCTAGAATACCGAAAGGGGCTGCATGGTCTCGAGGTATGGCATCCGCCTGGAGTGCTGGAGGTACCGGGCTCAAACCCTGGTGAAGGCTGGGATTTTTTCATGTAGACATCTAGTAATGTCCCCTGGTCTCCACGTAGTAAGATCAGATGCCCGTGTGGATTGTTGTGCTCGTAAAAAAATACCTTGGCAGCTGGAAATAAAAAAAAGAGTAGCTTTAGGGCGTTGCCCGGACAAAGCTTGGAGTTCAAAATCTACCCATGGTATTTCAGGATCCTCACCGATGTTGCAGAGTTCATGCACTGCACTGAGATTCTTCGGACTCAGACTGTAATTAGAAGAAGAACCGAACACTTATGGGTTACACCTGTGTGCCGTGATGTTGATCCGTCGACTAAACCAAACCTAAACTTTAGAATACCGAACATGTCTGCAGACAGTAGTTGGTGTGGTATTGCATATAAAGCATTCTTTGTATCTAACTGTAATGGGAGTAGCAATTTTCTGCTATTTGTAACAATTGAAAACCCAGGAGGATGATATTTTGACAAAAACCCAGGAGGATATTTTGACAGTCTCACAAAGGTAACAGTCAGCTGTGGTTGGAGTCTTTTCAGTTACATAACACTGAAGACTTAGAACAGAAGTTAAATGCATTCAAAAACAAATACCTAAGGAAATTGATAAGCATAAAATTGAATGTCTACAAGAAAAGTGAAGAAATAAGAGAAGTACCTGGACAACTTCTACTATCAACAGTTGTAAGAGGAAAAAAAATATGGCAAATCCTGAAAAGAAGCTAACAGATGATCTCCAGCCAGGTTTTTAAATAGGAAACAAATTGATTCAGGAAACAAGAACATACACCCAAAAGAGAAACCTAAGGTGAATGTTGACGCGAGAACCTGAGCTGCTGCAATAGAATCTACCCATGATGTTGAAACAGTTGCAGAGCATAAAACCGAATAAAATAAACTGCAAGCCGTATTTGACGTAAAACAGCGTAACAGAAATGGCCATGATATGTTTTATGCTGAAGCCTTCCTCAGTGTGTGTTCCTGAGTCCCCCACACTGGGCAGAGGGAATACTCACTGCATTCCTAACAAGCATGTCCTACAAGGCCACTGATTAGAGGAGTTTTCTTTGAAGTCGGAATGCGTCTGCCTGACAAGTGAGGAAACAATAGTCTGCTTACCAATAAGCCAGATCTGTAAAACAGATTTGCACACAAAACTCAAGTTCTGGAACAAGACCATAGTCTAGAAAATAATGAACAATCCAGAACTTTCTGCCAGAGTTTACAGCCAGTGAATGCTAAAAGAAGAAGATACTCAGAGTCTGAAAATGGGGTTTTTATCCTTCCTTGTGGGGTGCTTGACTTATCTTTGGGGTCAGCACTGAACATATGTCTGCATACACACCTGTGTCTTATTATCTCAACCAGGTTTTCTTTATTTTTATCTTTTTAACTGTTTGGAATCTTGTTTTGAGCTCTAGTGAATGACATCTTGTGACATCCGTAACCTCTCCCTTAGGTCAGCCAGGAGCAAGATGGTGCCGACAGGAAACTCAAAGTCAGCCAGTCCAAGTTTACAGCTGATGGCTCACCTGCCAGTGAAGGCTATCGCTGGATGGTTCCAGTCCTGGCCTGCACCCAGGCAGAGCCAAGCAAGCCTGTTGTGTTGGGACTCCTGGAGACTGACCTTCAGGAGTACATTGTTCCTGATGTCCCAGCTGGACAGTGGGTCAAGGTATTGTAGTTGCTCATGAATCTATAGGTCAAGATATTGTAGTTGCTCATGAATCTATGGGTCAAGGTATTGTAGTTGCTCATGAATCAATGGGTCAAGGTATTGTAGTTGCTCATGAATCTATGGGTCAATGTATTGTAGTTGCTCATGAATCAATGGGTCAAGGTATTGTAGTTGCTCATGAATCAGTGGGTCAAGGTATTGTAGTTGCTCATGAATCAATGGGTCAAGGTATTGTAATTGCTCATGAATCAGTGGGTCAATGTATTGTAGTTGCTCATGAATCAATGGATCAAGGTATTGTAGTTGCTCATGAATCAATGGGTCAAGGTATTGTAGTTGCTCATGAATCAGTAGGTCAAGGTATTGTAGTTGCTCATGAATCAATGGGTCAAGGTATTGTAGTTGCTCATGAATCAGTGGGTCAAGGTATTGTAATTGCTCATGAATCAGTGGGTCAAGGTATTGTAGTTGCTCAAGAATCAATGGGTCAAGGTATTGTAGTTGCTCATGAATCAATGGGTCAAGGTATTGTAATTGCTCATGAATCAGTGGGTCAAGGTATTGTAATTGCTCATGAATCAGTGGGTCAAGGTATTGTAGTTGCTCATGAATCAGTGGGTCAAGGTATTGTAATTGCTCATGAATCAGTGGGTCAAGGTATTGTAGTTGCTCATGAATCAGTGGGTCAAGGTATTGTAGTTGCTCATGAATCAGTGGGTCAAGGTATTGTAATTGCTCATGAATCAGTGGGTCAAGGTATTGTAGTTGCTCATGAATCAGTGGGTCAAGGTATTGTAATTGCTCATGAATCAGTGGGTCAAGGTATTGTAGTTGCTCATGAATCAGTGGGTCAAGGTATTGTAGTTGCTCATGAATCTAAAGTCAGAGAATGCCAGTCAGGTATCAGGACCTGTGCAGAACGTTGCTCTTTTCACAGCATGCCTGAAAGTCTTGCCTTTCTCTAGCCAATTCTCCAGCCTTATATGCTTTCATAGGGAATGTATCTTCAATGTCTTATATTCACTTTCACAGAGGTCGGCCTTTGTCTCATTTTCCAGAAACGGAACCTCAAACCAGTCTAATGTTTCACCAGCTTCTCTGACTGCTGCTTTTTATTCATGGTATCATGCCAGTAATTATGCTTTTTTTAATGGTGAAACAATGCTAACACAAACTTGCTTAATAGGAACACTCACTTAACATGAACACAATTTTGGTCCCAACAAGGATGTGTTATTAGTCTCCAGTTACCCCCGTGTGGGTTCCGGGGCCCCATTGTGGGGAAAACAAGAATAGACCCACTGCCTACCCAAAAGCATGTCGTAAGAGTCGACTAATTGGGGAGCTTTCTTTGAAGTCGGAGTGCATCTGCCGGAGAGGCAAGGAACCAACAGTCTGTATTCAAGAGAATGAGATCTGTAAAACTGATGCACAGGCAACACTCAGGTTCTGGAGCAGGACTGCAGTTTAGTAGTGGACGATCAACCAGAACTTTGCGCCAGAGTTTACAGCTGGTGAACCGGAAGAAGAAGAAAAAGAAGTCTCCAGTTAGTACGTGTGAAAATAAAATTTCTGAATTTTTCAGTCCCTCTGAATTTGTGTTAATAAGATTTACTTGCATAAAGTCTTTTTCTTTCTTTTTAACGCCAGTGGAAACCTCTGATTGTTCATTGACTTCTGGACTTTTAGTCTAGATCCTGAGTTCTATGTGCATATCTGTATGCACAGTGTTGGTTCCTCACCTCTCTGGCAGGTGCACTAGGATTTTGAAAAAAAAAAAAACACCCCTTTTTTAAGACATGCTAGTTAGGCGGTCAGTGGGTCTGTTGCCTTACTGGGATTAAATTTGCAGTTTTTTCATATTGCATTAAAACATATATTCACATATAGTCTGAACTTCTTCGTATTCACCGGGTGTAATCTCTGACAGAAGGTCCTTTTTGTTCATCCACTTTTGAAATTTGGTCTTGTTCCATGACTTCAGAGTTGCTTGCATGTCTGTTTTACATATCTAGCTAATTTGTGTGGAGACTGTTGGTTCCTCACCTCAGGCAGCTGCACTGACTTGGAAGCAAACCTCAGCCCTGCCTACATTTGCCACGCTCATGGTCTGAAATCTGTTTCTAGGATGGCAGCGGAGAGGGGTAGGTAAATCCTGACCAGTGTGAGCTCTGGTGCTGTTGCACAAATGTGTGTTGTTGTAACTAAACATGATGTTATCTTGACGTTATGTTATGAGTTGGAATGAGGTGCTCTGATTCCTCTTCCTACATGTACATCTGTGTCCCTTGGTTTCTAGTGCTAGTCCTTTGCTGGCTTACAAGATTTCTTGTATGCTGATCTTTACCCCCAAATATTACATTGTTAGCAGTGATGTGGACCTAAATCTTCCAATTGTCCTATCTCTGTAAGAACATCAACAATGTTGGTGTAGATTCATAGGCCGGCCATATGCACCTAAGGCAGAACCGGCCAGTCTGTCAGCTCTTTCGTTAGGATTTTCTTTATGCGCAGACTGTAGCTTACTCGAGATTATTTGTGTACCATGCAGCTGAATGCAGGGTCCATGGGTGTGTATCGAGTCATGTACACCAGTGAGATGCTGGAGGCTCTCGTGCCTGCGGTCAAGGACTTGTCTCTGCCACCAAAGGACAGGCTGGGTCTGCAGTCTGACTTGTTTGCTTTGGTAAGTTTAGTTGAATATGTTTGTCATTTAAAAAACACAACCTGCATACAATATAGATAAGTGAGGAGCTGCATCTAACTGGTTTTAGTTAGTGTATCGGCATTTGTGTGAGTCTATCTAATCACCGGGGACGAAGAGATTCCTTAAAAAAAAAAAAACCACAGCCAGATGTCATTATTCTTTCAAAAAAGCCAGAACCAGGTTTGATTATTCTTTAAAAAAAAAAATTTCAGTCCGGAACTAGATGTAAGAATTTCTTGAGAAAAAAAAAACACAGAATGAGATGTGATGATTCCTTGGAAAAAAAAAAAACCAGAACTAGATGTGAGGATACCTTAGAAAAAGCCAGAAATAGATGTAAGAATTTCTTGAGAAAAAAACACAGAATGAGATGTGATGATTCCTTGGGGGGAAAAAAAGAACTAGATGTGAGGATGCCTAAGAAAAATCCAGAACTAGATGTAAGAATTTCTTGAAAAAAACCAGAAGTATGTGTAAGGATTCCCTGGAGGATAAAAACCCAGAACCAACTGAGGATTCCGCAGAGAAACCCCATAACCAGATTTGATGATTCCTGGGAAAAGTTCAGAACTGGATGTGAGGAAGGATTCCTGGGAAAAAGCCCAAAACCAGATGTGACGATGGGTAGAAAAAAACACAGAGCCAAATGTAAGGATTCCTTATAAAGACCCAGAATCAGATAAGGATTTCTAGAGAAAAAAAACTTGGAACCAAATGTGAGGATTCCTGGGGAAAAGGGCAGAACCAAATGTGAGGATTCCTGGGGAAAAGGGCAGAACCAAATGTGAGGATTCCTGGGGAAAAGGGCAGAACCAAATGTGAGGATTCCTGGGGAAAAGGGCAGAACCAAATGTGAGGATTCCTGGGGAAAAGGGCAGAACCAAATGTGAGGATTCCTTTGGGAATAGGCAAACCAAATGTGAATTCCTGGGGAAAAGGGCAGAACCAAATGTGAGGATTCCTGGGGAAAAGGGCAAAACCAAATGTGAGGATTCATTGGAATAGGGCAGAACCCAAATTGAGGGATTCCTGGGGAAAAGGGCAGAACCAAATGTGAGGATTCCTGGGGAAAAGGGCAAGAACCAAATGTGAGGATTCCTGGGGAATAGGGCAGAACCAAATGTGAGGATTCCTGGGGAAAAGGGCAGAACCAAATGTGAGGATTCCTGGGGAAAAGGGCAGAACCAAATGTCAGGATTCCTGGGGAAAAGGGCAGAACCAAATGTGAGGATTCCTGGGGAATAGGGCAGAACCAAATGTGAGGATTCTTGGGGAAAAGGGCAGAACCAAGTGTGAAGATTCCTGGGGAAAAGGGCAGAACCAAGTGTGAAGATTCCTGGGGAAAAGGGCAGAACCAAATGTCAGGATTCCTGGGGAAAAGGGCAGAACCAAATGTCAGGATTCCTGGGGAAAAGGGCAGAACCAAATGTCAGGATTCCTTTGAGAATCTAAACTCAGTTGTAATTGTTGTGGGATAAACAAGAACTGGTTGTGATCTGTCTGTGAGAACCCCTGGTTTTGCTCATTGCAAGCTGCAGTAAGGATTGCCTATGTTCTGCATTGTCTTGGCAGTGTGGATGAGACGGCACTGGGAGGGATCAGAGTAAAACTGAATACCTCAACACAGAAATAAGAGTTGCTTTATGTGAGAAAACCCTCAGAGCAGATTTCATTCTCATGCACTTGCCAAGGATAACATTAGCCAGATAGTATATTGATATCCCTGAATGGGTTTGAGGGCCCCACTTTTGTGTGCAAACAGGCTGCCTGCTCCTCAACAATCATTTTTGTGTGCAAACAGGCCGCCTGCTCCTCAACAATCATTTTTGTGTGCAAACAGGCCGCCTGCTCCTCAACAATCATTTTCTGGGCAAACAGGCCGCCTGCTCGTCAACAATCATTTTGTGGGCAAACAGGCTGCCTGCTCGTCAACAATCATTTTGTGGGCAAACAGGCTGCCTGCTCCTTAACAATCATTTTGTGGGCAAACAGGCCGCCTGCTCCTTAACAATCATTTTGTGTGCAAACAGGCTGCCTGCTCCTCAACAATCATTTTGTGTGCAAACAGGCCGCCTGCTCGTCAACAATCATTTTGTGGGCAAACAGGCCGCCTGCTCGTCAACAATCATTTTGTGGGCAAACAGGCCGCCTGCTCGTCAACAATCATTTTGTGTGCAAACAGGCCGCCTGCTCGTCAACAATCATTTTGTGTGCAAACAAACAGGCCGCCTGCTCCTCAACAATCATTTTGTGTGCAAACAAACAGGCCGCCTGCTCGTCAACAATCATTTTGTGTGCAAACAAACAGGCCGCCTGCTCGTCAACAATCATTTTGTGTGCAAACAAACAGGCCGCCTGCTCGTCAACAATCATTTTGTGTGCAAACAAACAGGCCGCCTGCTCGTCAACAATCATTTTGTGTGCAAACAAACAGGCTGCCTGCTCGTCAACAATCATTTTGTGAAAGGCCACCATTAACATTTTTTCTGAAATCAGTGTGTTGAGCCACAATACCTAGATATCACAGCCTAGCTGTAAACTTCAGCACAACACGCCAATCACCCTTTTAAGGGCAAATCTCAGCCATGAAAACTTGGCACAAATAAACTAGACCACAAATATAACCGCATGTTACTCACAACAAAAGCTGTTTGCAGCAGGTTGAACATGGCCAGTGTTTTGTTTGTTCATACAACTGGAACTGGAAAATGAGTGAATAATTTAGAACATTAAACTGACAAATACACAAGAGACAACATAAACAAATTCACAGGGTGTCAGGAGCCTCTTTTGGCAGTGGTGAAATGTCGCAGGCTAGGCTAGTCTTGTTCTGGCAGGTGGTGAAATAATATTAGTTTGCAAACATTATACTTCAAGGTACATTGAGGGGCAGTCAAAGAAGAGAGGCAAAGAACCTGGAATGATGTCAAGAAATGGATCGGATTAAATTATAATACACTTGTTCAACAAGTGGAAGAAAGGTAGTGAGTTTTGTGTGCTCGTGCTTATGTTGATACACACACCTCCACGACCCTAGCGGGTCAAGGGGTGTGTTATGTTAAATTAGTATACTCTTGAAAAGGATCTTCTTGATGAAATCTTTCAGTCACGAGCTGGCCTGACCTCCGCTGTGGATGTCCTCAAGGTCGCCGAGGCATTTGAGAATGAGACTGACTTCACGGTGTGGTCAAATTTATCCTCCAATATCTCATCATTCAGCACAATCTTACAGGTAAGGGTTCCGGTCTTGAAAGTGTGTTGCTGTAAGTTTTGCACTGTGGACATAATGTTGGGTTCAGTATAGTTGCTGCCACAAAACTCGGAAGCTCTTTATTCTACAGTGCTAAGACAGTTGTATTACTGGACGACCCACCCACACTGGACTAAGCTTACTTTCTTTTCTAGTGCCCGGAAATAACTGCTGTATGATTGAACAGGCTTTCCGAGGTTGTACCTGTTTGGTTACCATCCTAGAGATGTTAATCCTACAGAATACAAATCTAGAGGGGGAGACAAAAAGTTGCCTACTTCAGGATCTGAACATAGAGGGTTGGTGGCTCTCAGACAGTATTGTTTATCAGAAACTAAACTCCCTGTGTGGTTCCAGGGCCACATTGTGGGGAAATAAGAATTGACCCCCTGCCTCCCCAACAGGTATGTCGTAAGAGTCGACTAACTGGGTGCTTCCTTTAAAGCTGTATTGCATCTGCTCAAACGGCAAGGAACAACCAACTGCACTTAAATAAAGCCAGAAAAAGGGATGAACATGCAAAACTCAGGCCCTGGCACAAAGCCAAAGTCCACATGGACGAACTACCAGGACTTTCCACTGGAGCTGACGGCTGGTGAACAAAGAAGTAGAAGAAGAAACTGAAGTATTTGGACTACATTAAGCAGCTATCGTGTGGGGACAACCTGGGACTGGAAAGAACTGTTTCCATTGAGGGTATTGTTCCTAGAAGAACAGGCAGGAGTCGATCAGCAAGACAGTGGACGGACACAGGATATCGAGGGACACCCTGGTCATTCAAGTTCAAGAGTTGGGGAAAGTTGACAATGGATTGAAGGGTTTTAATAACTTGCCATGGGGAGAATGGCCTTTTGCAGAGGATCTGTTGCATGATGGTGCGGATGGGGCTTGAATGTGAGGGTTGTTAGGTTTCTTTACAGTTCTGCAAACATTCACTCTCGAGTCAGGCGTGATTTTACTGTAGATTTTTCAGTAATTGTATTTATTGATTCAGGCATGATTTTACTGTAGATTCTTCAGTAATTGTATTTGATGAGTCAGGCATGATTTTACTGTAGATTCTTCAGTAATTGTATTTGATGAGTCAGGCATGATTTTTTTTGGAGAGTCAAGCATGGTTTTACTAGAGAGTCGGTCATGATTTTACTGGAGAGTCGGTCATGATTTTACTGGAGAGCCAGGCATGATTTTACTAGAGAGCCAAGCATAATTTTACTGGATAGTCAGGCATGATTTTACTAGAGAGTCGGGCATGATTTTACTGGAGAGTCGGGCATGATTTTACTGGAGAGTCGGGCATGATTTTACTGGAGAGTCGGGCATGATTTTACTGGAGAGTCGGGCATGATTTTACTGGAGAGTCTGGCATGATTTTACTGGAGAGTCTGGCATGATTTTACTGGAGAGTCAGGCATGATTTTACTAGAGTCAGGCATGGTTTTACTTGATAGTAAATTAACATTCACTAGAAAGTCATATTTCTGGTACAGAAGACGATTTTATAGCTATTTTACTAGAGAAAAGAACCTCTATTTTAAGAGCTTCTGATAATGTTATCTATGAAGTGTAAGTATGTACTTAGATGTATGCCATTTCACTTGCAGCATACTGATGCCTACCCAGCCTTAAAAAAGTTTATCCGCAAGATGTTCAGTAAAATATCAGCAGCCGTTGGTTGGGATTCCAAACCAGGAGAAGGTGAGGGTTGTCATTATCATATACCATGCCGATAAGCCTGTGGGATCATAGTTAACCATTTTCACTTGATCACCAGAGGATAGGGACTCTAATTATTATCGTTCTCCGTGTAGGTTCTGCCCCTCCTCCCCATCCTCCCCCCTTTCCACTTTTTTTAAAAGCAAAAGTTAAAATAAAATAAAAAATAACTGCTCCCTAACAAGCATGTCCTAAAAGTCAACTCGTTAGATTAGGGGTGTTTTCTTTGAAGCTGGAGTACATCTGCCTGAGAGGTGAGGAATCAACAGTCTGCTTACATATAAGCCAGATCTGTCAAATGTATTTGCACTCAAAATGTTCTGAAACAAGACTGAAGTCAAGAAATGGCTGAACAACCAGAACTTCCTGCTGGAATTTGAGAATAATAATACTTATTAATGTTGTGAATTCTGTAGCTAGTTGAGTTAAGAACTGACTTCACAGTACTCGTGACATTCCCATAAGTGCTCAGTTCTCATCTTCAGCAGCCAACAAAGTGTTCTGAAACAGATGGTATAATTAACAGTTTGATGATGTGTCTGTCTTGCCTTTCCTGTGAGTGTAGAGTCTTGGCCAGATTCCCTGGTAATTCCCTGCGAACCATTGTCTCCAGACCTGATCTGTTTGCTCTGCAGAACTGTTCACTGGCTCCCAAAGGGCCTTGTTGATATCAGGCTTGCCGTCCATCATTTCACCACTCATTGTTGTAGCACCAGCCAGTAAGTGTTATATAGACAGCCTGTCAGCAAGCATGACATAATAGCAGGGTACATGTTTGCTACTGACCTGTGGTATGTTTCAGATCCTTTGATCCCCATGTTGAGGGAGGTTGTTCTGACCCGAATGGGTATCTCTGGAGATGAGGCTACAGTAGCCGAAGCAAAGAGGAGATTTGAGTTGCACTGTAACGACACAGCCAAATTACCAGCTGACCTGAGAGCTGCTGTAAGTACTGTTTATTCTTTTGTCCAGTGAATGATGGTGCAGTAAATCTCATAGACAGGGGTGGGGTGTCTTTTAGGCTACCGGCACACTTACATCCTTGACCAGACTGCAAGAAAAGGATGAAGCCAGACAAGAACATCATCGTTATCCTAAGACAAGTAATAAACCTCCCCGTGCAGGGTCTTAGTAGTGCCCCAGTTTTGTTAAGACAAAAAATAAAATCACTCACTGCCTCACCTAACTAGCATGACGTAAAAAGCGACTAATTAAGAGTTACTGGTATTGGATGTGTTGGGCAAGAAGGCATAAATATTGCAGCCTAGCTTACACCAGAACATAATTTGTCGGTCATCTCAATGGGGAACACAGAAGATGAGAAGAATAGTAAACCAACGCAGAATTGCTGTTGTCAGCCGCCACATGCAGAGAGATGTGCTGAGAAAGGAAACATATTTATGGAATTGTTTGATGTGCAGGGGAGGATGAGCTTTTAGCTTACAAACTGGCAAATCCCACAATTGTGTCTTCAACAGACAGGTGATAACATGTCATCGATAGTAATGATGACAGGTCATCAATAGTAATGATGACAGGTCATCAATAGTAATGATGTCAGGTCATCGATAGTAATGATGACAGGTTGTCAGTAGTAATGATGACAGGTCATCAATAGTAATGATGACAGGTCATCAATAGTAATGATGACAGGTCATCAATAGTATTGATGTCAGGTCATCGATAGTAATGATGTCAGGTCATCAATAGAAATTATGTCAGGTCATCAATAGTAATGATGTCAGGTCATCGATAGTAATGATGTCAGGTCATCGATAGAAATGTCAGATCATCGATAGAAAGGATGTCAGGTCATTGATAGTAATGATGTCAGGTCATCAATAGTAATGATGTCAGGTCATCAGTAGTAATGATGTCAGGTCATCAGTAGTAATGATGTCAGGTCATCAGTAGTAATGATGTCAGGTCATCAATAGTGTCAGGTCATCAGTAGTAATGATGACAGGTCATCAATAATAAACAGCTCTTATTTGTAGAGTTTATTTTGATCCTACAAAAGAACACAGTTAATGGCAAATAGTTTGTCAGTTTTAGTGTCAGCTATAACCCAGGGACATAGTTTAATATTGTTTTCTGTTCCTGATGTATATTTTGGTAAATATATACAAGTAGCCGGCTATGTTGACTTCAACAACACTATGGAGAACTGACTGTTTAGAAAGCAATGGCAAACAGCTGAACATAAAATTATCAAGTAAAACCACCAGCAGCCATGAAAATGTTGGAACTTGTACCGCAGTATCCTATAAATAATATGCATCTAACGTTTAGATAAAATGTGGGATGAGAAATAGCAACAAAACTAACCCAATTCTATGATCGTAATCATGGTGGGGATAAAACAGCCATTGATCTAAAACAAGACAGCACCAATAAGTTCGGTTACAGTAAAACCAGAGCTTTATAAAACTGATGTGACAAGTATGTGTGTCGGCCGCAGTGTGAATGTGTTTTCCATTTATTTTTAAAGGGGTTAGTTACTTAATTACAGTGTCGTGAAATTGTGATTCTCTAAAAAGTGTGTCACTGACAGGGAAAATGGAAGGCTATGAGTTAAATGTTATTTGGCCATTTTCAGGTGTATACCACAGTGTTGTACAATGGGGACAAGACGACCTTAGACAAGATCATGAAGGTTGGTTGTAACAGTTTTTCTTGTTATTTCAAACACATTTTGCCCATTTTGTCACTAGCATGCATTGTTGTAAGAAAACATCTCTCGTACATGGTCATTGTAAATTTATACCGTTTGAGATAGTTAAAAAGACAATCTGTTTTTCTATATAGAACATATGATGCTAGACTTGTCATTGTATCCAATGTATCTTTTTTCTATATAGAACATATGATGCTAGACTTATCATTGTATAGACCTATCGGAACTTGATGGGGGTTATGGCCAGCTGCCTTTACTTCCCAGAACATTACCTGGTACATATTTTAAGCCGAGGTCAATATTAAAAATAACCCACCGTGGTAGGGATTTTAAGCGCAACTATCTAACCACTACGCCACTACTAAAGATAAGTAACTAAAATATTTAGCCAGCAAAATTTGTAGTTCTACCAACAGTAAGTATCCCCCAACATCTCTCTGTCTGGCTAGTGGTACCAACAGCAAGTTTCCCTCAACATCTCTCTGTCTAGTGGATACCTGCAGTAACATTTGCCATAAAGTTTCTTTAGGAATCTGTCTAATTTAGTTGTAGGTCCTGCTGGTAAGTCAGAAATGCTTTTTTCTACTAATCTTAGCTCAGTGTATCATGCTTCTGTCCTAATCCTAGCTACTGTATCATACTTCTGTCCTAATCCTAGCTCAGTGTCCCATGTTTCTGCCTTTTCATAGCTCAGTGTATCATGCTTCTGTCCTAATCCTAGCTACTGTATCATACTTCTGTCCTAATCCTAGCTCAGTGTCCCATGTTTCTGCCTTTTCATAGCTCAGTGTATCATGCTTCTGTCCTAATCCTAGCTACCGTATCATACTTCTATTCTAATCTTAGCTCAGTTTCACATGCTTCTGTCCTAATCCTAGCCCAGCATACCATGCTTCTGTCCTAGTTACCTTATCATACTTCTGTCCTAATCCTAGTTACCTTATCATACTTCTGTCCTAATCCTATCTCAGTGTCCCATGTTTCTGCCTTGTCTTAGCTAAGTGTATCATGCTTCTGTCCTAATCCTAACTACCGTATCATACTTCTATCCTTATCATAGCTCACTGTCACATGTTTCTGTCCTGATCCTAGCCCAGTGTATTATGCTTCTATCCTAATCCTAGCTCAGCATATCATGCTTCTATCCTGGATCCTAGCTCTATAGTATCACATGCTTTAAATCTAATCCTAGCCCAGTGTATCATGCTTCTGTCCTGTTCTTACTGTCACATGTCTCTGCCTGATTTTAGCTCTGTATATCATGCTTCTGCCCTAATCATAGCTGAGTTTATCATGCTTTTGTCATAATCCTAGCAGAGTATCATGTTTCTGTTCTGATCCTAGCTCATTATATCATGTTTCTGTTCTGATTCTAGCTAAGTATATATCATGTTTCTGTTCTGATCCTAGCTCAGTATATCATGTTTATGTTCTGATCCTAGCTCAGTATATCATGCTTCTGTTCTGATCCTAGCTCAGTATATCATGTTTCTTTTCTGATCCTAGCTCAGTATATCATGCTTCTGTTCTGATCCTAGCTTAGTATATCATGTTTCTGTTCTGATCCTAGCTGAGTATATCATGTTTATGTCCTGATCCTAGCTGAGTGTATCATGTTTCTGTTTTACAGTTGTATGATGAAGCAGATATGCAGGAAGAAAAAGTCCGCATCAGTCGAGCCATGGGTTCAGTGCAAGACCCAGAACTGATTCAGAGGGTGCTGGACTTCTCTCTGTCTGTAAGTTGCTGGTTAGTTGTACACCAGCCCCTGTCAGCATAGTTGTTCCTGTCCAACAACTTCCCTGCCTAGACAACCATCAGCTACATGCCCAGATTAGTGCTGATGCAACATCCAGAGTTTTAAAAGCCACACCTGTGTACTTGCAGATCTCTAGGTTACTGAAATTCATAAGGTCTTGGGTTAAAGACATCTTGGGGGTGGGGAGGGAGGGGGACATAAAGAAATTAATTACTGATTGCAAGGGGAAAAACGAGAGCTGAATATGGCCGGGGTTAAACTGTGAAAGCAAAGTATATAGTGACGGGCTGCGAATTGTTTGAGGAGTTATGCTCCATTAAAGGATTAAAATAAAATGATTATATGGGGTTGGTGACCTACCAGTTAGCCTTAATCTTGACAGGACCAGTTAGCCTTAATCTTGACAGGATACATAAGACAGACACTTAGGATGCTCTTTGTTTGACCAGTGTCCATTGTTAGAATCAGTTCATAATTATCCTAACTCACAAAGTTGTGCATATTTGCAGGTTGATTTTTGGTAACTAGAACAGCATTCAGAGTCCATAAAACTAGATTCTCTAAGACGGGGATATTAAATTGGCAGCTCCTGGGCCAAATTTAGCCCTTTGTCGCCTAACAAGTGGCCTGCATTGTATTAATGATCTTTCTTTGCGGGGGCTTGGGCCTCTGGCCCATGACAGTTCCCATATTTCAGCATTTTGGCACCTAGTAAACTTAGTAATGGTAATGTTAGTTTCATCTTCATAGCAAACGGGTCACCCCATAGTTGCTTCGCTCCTGCCCCAACTTAAAACACACAGAATGTTTATCACAGTCACTTGTGGAAAGATTGACAGACTGTTGTCTCAGCATACACACTAGTATACACACGCATAAAAAGCATACAGTAGCCATCAGGAGTGCTAACACAAACAGTCCGACATTAGAAATGCAGTTCATCATCGATGGTAGCAAAGGTAACCAACAAATTAGCAGTTGCACATGCAATGAATTTTAATCACATGAGGGCACCACCAATATTGCAACAACAGACCACACACCATTTTCTGAACCTACAATTCACAACACCACAGTCAAAAAACCTAATGAAATCCATAGCTCACAGGGTTGCACCATGCACTCAGCTCAGTAGCTGGGTGAGGAAACTAAATCCTTTCAGTCTACAAACAGAGCAAAAATGCAACAGCCACTGTCAGACGGTGACCTTTGCATTTTTGCTTTGTTTGTAGGCTGAAAGGATATAGTTTCATCGCCCAGCTACTGAGATGAGTATGGTTAGTTGCACAGCCCTGCTCTAATAGACCCTAATGTCAGATTTCATAAGGAAACATAGACCAAGATCCTTAACAGAACTAGGAAATATATTCCTTAGGAGAACCTAGAATCAGATTCTTTAGGAGAACTGGTGGAACCTTGGGAGAACCTTGAATCAAATTCTTTAGGAGAACTTGTGAAACCCTTAAGAGAACTAAAAATTCAGAGTGGCTAGAACCAGATTACCAATTG